GGTACACCGCTCCTCCTCCCTGAGCCCACCAGCGCTACTGCCGTCCAACGCTGCTCTCCCCTGGCACGAGTCTCCCTCCCCCTGGCCGGGGAAGCTGCTGCCAACCGCAAGCAATCTGTCCCTGCTCACCCGGCCCTCGTCTGAGCTAGCTCTCCTTTGACGCGGTCGGTCCTCTTCCTCCTCCCAACCAAATTCGCCCACGCTTCGGCCCGCCCACGACCTTCTTCTACTCTCGCCTGACCCACCGCCCTCTCCAACCCCGCCGCCGCCGCCGCCGCCCCCGTCGCCGCCGTAGTCGCTGCTCTCGTGGCTAGGGGCGCACCCGCCGGACACAGCGACGGCGGTGTCTCCTTCCTCGCCCGCTTCGAGAAGGTCCTTCGGCGGGGCGTCGACGCCACCGCCGGGGCCGTTATCAGCGGCGTGGATAGCAACTTCCATCGGGTGAGGCTGGTCGGTGCCAGAGAAGTGCGGTTCGAAAATACCCCCACCATGTTGAGAGCATAGTCACGCGTGGAGAGTGGGAAGGGAAAGGCAAGGCCAAGAGGGAGGATGACGAGGGTTTTCACGCTTTGTTACGGGTACGGAAGCGTGGCCAATGTAACCCGCAGTTAAAAAGAGCAGTCAAGGTAGGTCAGCGAACGTCGACAGCCCTTGCGCGCATTCGCCACTACCCACAACGGGGTCCAGCACATGGTGGGTGCTGACGAGCCGAGAAACCACAGCAACGTATCGTACAAAGAAAAAAAAACTGATGTTCTTGCCATTTGTATGTGTAAGGATGAGAGTTCGCATCGACTGCTTTACAACCACTGTGTGATACGATACCACGACCCCCGACATCACCAAAAACCACACCAATACCGAAAGACGCGCACACCAATTCACACGCATGCTGCACGGCATCAATGAACAACGCTCCAGAAGCAGCGCAGCGCCTGCGATAGAAAAGCTGCGCTCCCAGTATGTACAAGGTGCAATACTGACGCAGTACGCACGACATGAGACAACAAAAAGTAATACCCCTCCTACCGTAAATCATCGCTTGCGAACACGCAACAGATCATTCTCCGGCCATGTTGACTAGCTCACTGCTACCAGGTAAGGTAAGTGACATTGTGCGTCCCTTTGATCACCTCCTGGATTGGACACCTACAACCCGGTTCGATAACACACCAGTTTGCTAACACCAACATCCCGGGGGAAAAACAGTTCTAGACATCCAGCAGACGGTGACCGCGGTCATTTCGTGTAGGTAGGTTATAGGGCACGCGAGATCTCCGAACACCCCACCCCAAAGGCAGAACAAACGTTAACCAAGATCAAATCACCATCCATGCTCTCAGACATCAAACCAGGTGAATCATGCACAGAACAACCGGGCAGCAGCAGCAGCAGCAGCAGCCCCTGTTTGTGTTGCTGTGAAGGTGGCGGAGGCATGGGATGCTTACAGTACTGGGTTTGTCACCTGTGCGTGGTGTAACTCTTGCTCAGACACGGCCATGACCATGTAACCCGGGTCAAGGTCGTCCACCCACTCGTCCTCCGCGTCTCCCCCGCCGAACCCGACCTCGAACCTCTCCATGCCCAAGAACGACGCCACCCTCCTTTCTTCTTCTTCCTCCGCGTGCCCCCCCGCCCCACCACCCCCTCCCGATCCCCCCTCACCACCGCCCTCGAGCCTGACCTCCGCTATCGCGACGGCGAGCTCCATCTCCGCCCTCGCCGTGCGCTGCTGCTCCTGGCTCTGTCTCACCGGCGACGGCAGAGAAGGCCGACCTCCGGTCCCCCTCTCCTCCCCGGGGACCGATTCCCAACCGCGAGTTCCGGCTTCAATATCGCCCGTCGATCCTTCCCCCAGGCCGTCACTCGGAGGGTCCTCTCTCTCCCCTTGGGACGACCAAGCCCCGGTCTCCTTGGGGACGAGCGTGTAGACACCACCGTGGTGCCCGTCATCTTGGAGGCCTTCGTGCCCCCCATCGCCCGCGCGATCTTGCAGCGACGAGCGGAAGGCCGCCGCCGATTCCGCGGCCACGGTAGGCGGCTGCGGCGGCGGCCGCGGCTGCGGCGGCGGCTCTGCTGCGTGGGCTTCTCCTTCCGCACAAGCGCGAGAGAGCTTCCCCGCCGTGCGCGCGGCAGCATCACCCGGCACTCTCGAGGCGTCCTCGTCATCGGAGCTACAAGAGCACGCCCTCCACGTCTCGCCCTCCGCCGCCGCCGCAACGCTGCCCGACCCGAGCTCACCGTCCCTACCGCTACCGCCGCCGATCCCGCCGTCCAAGCGGAAGTCCGGGATACACCCCGCGGACAAGGGCTTGTCATCCAGGTGCCGGTACGGGGACGGAACGGTCCAGGAACGGTCGCGCGAGGGGGGCGTCGCCCCCCCCGGGGCCCCGTCGGTTACCGAAGGGACCCCCCCCTCTGTCCCCCCCCCGGCGGTCGCACCGTCATCATGACCATCATGATCATGGTCATCCAGCGGGGCCGCCCAGCCCCACGGATTGTCCGCGCGCGCTCCCAACGTCTTCGCCGGTACCGGTGTCGGTGCCGGCACTGGCGCCGGCGCCGCAACCGCCTCGCTGGAAAGAGAAGGCGGTATTGATGGGTACGGCGGGGATGGCGGCTCCGCGAGCGCCGTGTAAGGCGAGGGCGCTGACGGTGGTGGCACGAGGGAGGAGGAAGAGGTCCCGCAGCCGAGAACGTGCTTGATCTCATCCTCCAAGGACGGATCCTAACAAGAGAGAGCCGAGCACAGGAGGGATAGAAAACGAGCAAGACCACTTTAGAAACGCAGCATGGTGCAGTACGAACAAATTGGGTTCGTCAGTCGCGAAGTGGGGAGGGGGAGGTTCTCTGGCGCTGCCGGGGGGGAGGGGGGGTCTCTGGTGGTTCCAGTCCATGCACGCAACATTCGGTGGTACGGGGGAGATGCATATTCGTGAGTACGGGCAGCTGTTTGTTTGGTTGTGCGGGTGCACAGGCAGAAGGTCCTGCTATTGAAGTACTTAATACGTATCAGGAAGTGAACGCGATACAGCAATGACCCATTTTTAATTTCCAAATGGCCGGGACGCTCGCCCATCAACTCTGCAATTGGCATGCGCCGCCACAAGAAACACCAAACAATCGTCCCCGCTTTAAGGCTACCATTTTCTCAGAAGCATGGCGGTGCCCCGCAGAATGTAAAAATAGGGGGGAGGGGGGGGTAAAGGACACTCCCCCGCTTTAAGGATACTCTTCTTTTGAAGAAAACCAACCGTGAGCGACCCTACAGCGAGGACGATTCTATAAGAGAGAGAGGTTCCTAGACACCTATGTATGCGGTACACACTCCCTTCTCACAAAGACAACTCCCGCCTGCCGACAAGCCTCCGCCATCCTCTTCAACACGCTCTCCGGTTTAGTCGTCGGCGTCGTCGTCGCAGAGCCCCTCTTCATCGCCGGTGTCGCCTCGACGCCTCCAGCCAGCCCCTCCAAGCCCGGCCGACCTTCAAACATCGCGTGCCGTTCGGAGTTGGTCGCAGCAACCGGGGTAAAGGCAAGCGCTGCGCTGGGAGGCGGCGGCTGCGGCGGCGAAGAGAGCGGCGAGTGCAACGGCTGGCGCAGTTGCGGCGGCAGCAGCAAGGCCGCCACTGCCTTTGCCTCGCTCGCTTGTGTGCCCTGTGCTCCGGCCTCTTCGGTCTCTCTCTCGTAGCACTCCTCTCCCTCCTCTTGCTCCTCCTCCTCCTCCTCCTCCTCCTCCTCCTCCTCCTCCTCCTCCTCCTCCTCCTCCTCCTCCTCGTCTTCTTCGATCTCCTCCTCTTCGCGGGTGTCGTCCCTTCCGCCCGTCTTCCCTGCGCCACGTTGCGATCCTCCTCCTCCTCCCGCCCACTCCATGTGCGCCGCCGCCGCCTCCGCCGCCGCTGCCGACCGCTCCCGAGCATCGTCCTCCTCGACAGCTGCCGCTACCGCCGCCGCCACCTTCCGCGGCGACGGTAGCAGCCCGGCCCGCATGGTTCGGCCGGAGCCGCCGCCGCTCCGAACGCCGTCGCCCAAGAACACCCCTCGGCTGGCCGGAGCTTCGGCTGAAATGGCCGCGGTATTGGAGAAATTATCGTTAACCTGCTGCTCGAACGACTGCGACTGTTGGATCCGCACCGCAGCGCCGACCACGTCTTCGTCTGACGAAGAAAAAACGAAAGAAACGGCGGCGGCGGCGGCGGCGATTCAGGGGCAACAGAAAGCGATCAAAAGCTCCAAGTAGAGGCGGAGGAGGAGACGCATAAAAATGCCAACGGCGCCGGACAGCAGTACGGCATCGCCGTCGCACGCTAGCACCACAGCTGCTTGCCCTTGACGAACACCCACACGCTCACGGGAAGGGGATGCACACGCAAGGGATAAAACCTGCACGCAAAGCGCGAACCATGCAGTGTTGCAACAACTCACAAGGCATGGGCGGCACCGACCAACCCTCCGCGCCATCGCTCGCGAGATCAGCTGCTCCGCCTGCCGAAAAGTAACGAAAAATCAAAGGGTGGACGAGGGGAGAAGAGCACGCGCAGTTCGGTTCTCCAGAGATCGCACAAACCAATTGTAAACTGCGGCATGCACAGCGGTAGAACCGAGACGATAACTTGGTCGTCTCCGACGCTTGAAACAGACACGTACCGGCATCATACCTGTACACGAAGAGGTGGCTGTACGCGAACCTGGACGAAAGGACACCGCCCAAAATGCCAATTCCGCTTAGTACTGGAGAGGACACCGCCCAACATGCCTATTCCGCTTAGTACCGCAGCGATATCCCCCCCTCTTCTATCCGGGCGCGGTTCCCGAGCTCCGTATTCACCACGCCGCCGTTCGCCACAATTTCAACTCACCGTCTAGGGCAGCGGTCCGGTGGCCGTGTCTTCCTCGAGGGGTCACGGGGACGCTGTAGCTCAGCGGGCCAAGGGTCGGCACCTGCGGCCGACGGCGAGACGAATCCCTCCCGGCCTCATCGAACTCCATCTGCCTCGGTTCGGCACAGAAGAGAGAGTGACAGGCGGGCGGGCGGCTTCAGAGCTTTTTTCCGGAGTGCACGGCCATGCACAGAAAAAAAGAAACAGCGCTACCACGTCATAAGACACCGACGTGGCCGGGGACAAAGGCACGCGGGAGGGGGGGGGGGGGGTCGCTTGAAACCATGGTTGCCAGATAAAATACACTTGTGATGTACATCGCCATCCCATTTGCACCAGTCGGGGTCACACAAATCAAGTTTAGTTTACGTGGAACAATTGCAGCACCGCGACACGATGTACAACGCACTTCGTTGACTGACAACCCGAAAACCGCGTGGCGTCGGTGGGGGGCGCGCCAACAAGACGAAAACGATCGAGATCGAGGCACCTATCTCCCCACATTGTTCGTTCACCTGGTGAGACCCCCACGGGCTGAGGCTCTTCCTCCCGGACGGCGGGGGCTGGGTAGGGGTCACCGTTGCTTCCTCCTCAACATGCGGCCCGACGTCTACCGCCGCCGTCGCCGCCGGTGCCAAGCGAGCGGCGCCTCCGTGCGCCTGCTCTTCCTCGTGGTCCTGTTCTGCCGCCGTGTCGGAAGACTGGTGTACATGCGGGGCAGGGAAGGTGAGGGTGTGAGGGTGACCGATGTCAGCCAAGTGTAGCGTGACGTAGAGGAGTAGATCACAGAGTAGAGGGCGGTGTGTCTGTGTGTGTATGTTCGTCCCATCTATCATGGCGTCAGTCTACACACCGTTCGGTGTACACATGTTTGATGTACAGCAGTATCAGGCGAGAGGAAGGTCACACGGGAGGAAGAAACACAGGGAGGGACGTTTGTTATTGATGGTCCCTGCGGTGCTTGCTCGCCCTAGGGACTGTTTCAATGTATTTAGTAGAGGCCCTGAAACACCCAAGTTGACGGCGGGGTACCGGGGGCCAAAGATTGCTGTAATTGGTCAACAGGGAAGAACACGATGACGCTTTGGCTGCACGGAAAAGCCGAAGTAAGGCATTGCGTGGAGACAATTTTGATTTTGGGAAAGCGAAGCTCTGTACCCGAACTGGGACTGCAACCGTTTCGCACCCCCGATGAGCTGACCTCGTGGTGCCGTTACCCCTGACTGGACCGAATACGATTGGCGCACTTGTCGTGCGGCATCCACACTCGTCGCCCACTCCCCCCTGCTGGGAAATAGTTCTATCTTGTATCGTTATGAATCTGTGCGACAATGATTCTGTGCGCAATTGCTACTAGGTGTAGGTTGCTGGGGGCGCAGCTTCCACGAAATGCGGGTTGTGCAGCGAGACAGCAGTCCAAACAAAGGTTGTAAAGGACGGTTGACCATGGGCATCAGACCATTGGCACCACCTGCTGATGCATAGCTTTGTGTGTACTGCTCTATGCTGACATTATTTTAGCTTTTTTTGTGGTGGTGGCACACTGCCTCTCTACTTGTCTATTACTCTATCACTCTATTATATGAACATGTACCTGTTCGGTGACCACGTCACCTCCTCGAGGCAGCGATTCCGCCGCACTTTGGGTGTTGATGAACCCCGATGCGGCATCTGGGTTGCTGGGTTGTGCAACATAACCCTCGAACGAGACATACCCTTTTCACCAAAAACAACTTCATTGAAACCGTTAGCGCGAGGAAGGGTCCATGCCGCGCCCCTTTCTTCCTTCATCGACGGCAAGTCGAAGTTAACAATCGTTTTTCCCCCACGGCAAGTTGTATTTTTGTTTTTTTAAACATCAATAAAGGAATAATATAAACACACAAAGACTACCCATTCGAGATATACCTTGCACGGGTAGAGAGAGAATCGAAGTCACAACCTGCTGTTGCAAACAAAGGTCCACGAGGTTGACCAATAATAGACCACCGGGGCTACCGCCACAGATGCATCTGAAACCAGAGAACTATGCAACGAAGGAATATCTTAGAGGTCTCACTTCAACACTTCTACGCGCTTCGAACAGGAGAGCAGGAAATGTGTCCAGACTTGATGTTTCTATTGATACCATGTCGACAAAAACTCTCTTCTACTTAGTTGAACACGTCAGAGCATACTGGACCGACTGGGATGCACTGCCGCACGTTTGCTCGAAGAGCGGAAGGCCGTGACATGGGAAAATATGCAGCGGAGCGGAGCCCGTTGCCCTGCATAAAAGAAGGAACAGATTGTACACGGTTGACACTTTTGTTACTGCTGTACATATGCATAGTGATGGCTGCTGCTCTCCCACCCTGCTATTGTCCACTTCTGAGACCAAAGCTACAGCCTGTCCAAGCGTAAGGTTAGCAAAGGAAAGGTATCTTCAGTGTCGCAAGGGACGTAGCGAGTCTGTAGTGCGCCGAGTTCGTGCTTTTGTATCTTACCAGAACGCCTTTTTTCCTGCTGTCAAGTTCAGCACAGAGTTCTGCACAACCGACGCTGGCACTAAGAATACAACCACCGCCGGTGCAAATTATAGCTGATGAACAGCAGTAGAGAACCAAAGCAAAAAACCTGTAAAAGACTCACCTCTCGAAGAAAATCTCCGGACATCCAACGCACCCAAGGTACCAACGAGCGACGCAGGCACCGTGATGCAACGCCCCGTGCACAGGAGCAGCAAACAAGAAACCAAGGAGAAACGACGCACCCGGCGGGGGCCGCACTGTCTTCTTGAATGGTGTCTCCGAACACCATCCCCCCGTACACAATGGTTCAGAGACACACGGGGCCCCCTTTTTTTTTTTTTGTGAAAACTCAAACTTCTTTTCCTCGTCTGCAGTCCGCGTCTTGCGCTGTTGGTTGCACGCTCAACGCACACAGACTGGATCGGAGAGTTATGGCGGATTCTATGGAGCTTTCGTCGGATGTGCCGCCGGCCTCTGCGGCGCTGACGGCCGAGTTCGTCGCGCAGCAGAGCTCAAGCTTCGATGCGGACCCCAAGCTTCGCCTCGCTCGGTAAGTGTCACATATTTTTACTGCTGCGCGACAGATTACCAAGCCCGCCCCACAATAATGAACGGCGATCTCTCTTGTGCACACAGAGTACACGTGAGCATCCTATTTAGTACGACGCACGACGCGACCGCAAGATCCCGCTTTTCGATCAAGAGGGGGGAGATTTTGCATCGAAAAAGTATGAAGATAGATCTCTCCGCTGTTGGTTGGTGGTTTCCGAATTTCGGTCGTGGTCTACGCGTGGCAGCGTAGACTATTTGTACAATCCCAGACTCCACTACATCCCGTTCGTTGTTGTTGGTATATCTCGAACTTTCTGTGTGTGTTGTATTTATTATTCCTTAATCCCATAAGTTGTTGTATTGTCGTGTTTATTGCCTTTTTCTGTTGCCCGCCGGCGTATCAACGCACTCAATATGTGCTTCGTTCGCTCTCCACGCAGACCTCTGCTGTAGCACAAACTGCTCATTGGGTGTCGTTGTATGTAGACTATTAATACATAGACTACGACATGACTTTTATCTTCCTTCTCCATTTCTCTTCCTACCCTTTTATTTTATTTTTGCCTTTTTTTTGTTGTCGTATATTTGCGCTCGGTTCGAAGATATTCTCTGTTTTTTTTTCGCACTACACTTGCTTCCTTGCGTGCGTTCCGAATTTATTATTATTTCATTTCGCGTATTGCTAGGGTTTCTTCTGCATGCCGTGAGTTGATTGTCGTATGCAGTCGAGTCTTGTCAACCGTGTAGCGTATTGAACTGAAAAATGTTTTTTTGGTCGCGGCAGGTCGATCATCCTCCCGTTGTTTCGATTCCACAAAGGAAGCAGAGCAGATAATGCACAACCATGTTCGTCTTGCTGATGATCACACCCTGCTTTGTCTGTTGCTGCTGTCGTTTCCCTCCAGAAACGCAGTCACACGTTCGGATGTGAGGGATGTCCTGATGCGCCGGGACGTTAGCAATAGCTTCAACCACCACTACAGCGTCAAGGTCGCACAGGTACAGGGTGCGCGCAGAGCATTTGCAATTTGCTTTTCGAGCCGCGTGCGGGGGCTGTCGCTCGTCGAACCGAGCAAAGAAAGTGAAATACTACTTCTGCCAATCACATACGCGACCTTGGTGCTATTACATACATACAGTGGGGGTCCCTCTATAGTGCGGGTATGTGACACGCGAAAAAACCGCACTATAGAGGGCACCCGCATTATATGCTTTCGGGCCTGAATAGTGCGGGAAGGCGCACTATTCAGGGTTTCAGAACCCTCAATAGTGCGGGTAGGCGCACTATCCACGAAATCACTAGGTTTTAGCATAGGACGTAGCCAAAAGCGAGGGATACTGTATGCAGGTGGCACGGTAGTGCATGTAACAAGTGAGGAGGGAAAAATTGCAGTATCTCTACGGATAGAAGCCTGCATCCGTTCGCAGGTGAGCAGAGAACCGCAAAAGTTGCACATACATCGGGATGTACTGCACAGCGGCAAACATTATACAACCACACCCTGTACTGTACAGAGATGTTACGCAATGTACGCTCTGTACCAAAAAGGAAGGCTGCGCACAGCCCATGTTGTTGTTCCTTGTTCCATTCTGCATTGATAGTTCCGCTTGCACATTAAAAAAACAAGGTTAGGCCTACAAAATGAAACCTGAACTTGCCAAATACGAAACACGTCCGTTCACAAACGAAACGAACACCTTTTCAACACGACCCAGACACACCCACGGAGAAAAAAAGAGAGGGGGGACACTCCAAGAAAAATATAATAGAAACAAGGACCCAAAAAAAAATCCTACATGTACTTCCCGCACGTTCTACCTCAAGTTTTCCAAGAAAATCCCACACAACACAACGCCATCTACGTTTGGGGGGGGCGGCTTTGAAGAAAAAACGGCAAAGTGAAATTCGCAGACAGTTGACTCATTCAAACACCCGGCAGATCCACTACCAGCAAATTACAGCAGGAGCTGCGTGGGGCAAAACGGCTGATTGCTCTACGCGTCAAAAAACTCCCTAACATCGGCCTGGCGCGACGGCTTCGATGCATGCGCTTCGATCATCAACATCCGTGCCCTCTTGAGCAAGTAGCTGGCCTCGTTCAAGCTGCACCCTGCCGCGTAGCTTTCCAGGGGGGCGAAGTGTTTGGAAAGTTTGGAGGAGAAGCACGCCGGACAGAGGCGGTTCATTTCGTTCTCGCCGTCCTCCTCCACCTCGCCGCATATACCATGCAGTCTGCCGCCACATCCTCCTCGACATTGGTGGCCGTCGGGGGCTTTGGGTGTGAAGTTGCTAAGTTGGCAGAGTTCGCCTGCTGCACACGGCATCCTGTGCCTCTGCTGCTGTTCCTGTGGCCAGTAGGGGTATGCTGCTGCTGCTATGCGTGGCCGGTAGGGGTATGTGTGTGTGTGTGTTTTTTCTTATTATTATTAGCATCGACCGCGCTAACCGGTTGACCAATGAAAAGACGTCAGTGCCAACGGGTAAAAATCAAGGTCCCTGGAATGGGGCCAAAATTCGAAAAATGCGCAATGCGCTAAACGCGAACGCCAATACGACTGTGTGTGTGTGTCGGGAAAATGTGTGGGTTGGCTATCTAGGTTTGACCGCATCTAGGCGGGTGGTGACGTGGCGTGACGTCAAATCCGCACTATATAGGGTCTTGAGAGGGGTCAAACCCGCACTATAGAGGGGTGCCCCGAATAGTGCGGCACCCGCACTATCGAGGACCCAATTTGTGCCAAGCGATTTCACCCGCACTATAGCGGGCACCCGCACTATATAACCCGCACTATAGAGGGACCCCCACCGTACGCACAGTAGTAGATTTAGCTTGCTATTTGGTGACGGATCTTTGACAACCCACGCCTTGCTTTTGTTTTATTTAGATTTTACCTGTGCATATTGCATGCATGCGTATGTTTTGTGTGCAGCAACGGCTGGCATCTTTCCAATCTCTCCCGCCGGAGATGGGCTGACCGGCGCTACTGCTGTACCTCACGGAACCCATCCAAATACCACACACGGGCATTAAACACAACGCGTGTTTCGTAACTGCTGCACAGCATGTCCATGAATTAATGCACCTAAATACGCCTGACTCTGCGTGGTGGCTTCTGTTCGTGCCGACCATAACCTAGATGTCCATCCCGCACGGTGCCTGCATTGATCGGAAAGAGCATGTTGTGATCCCTGGCCAATATCACGCCTCTTTCTTCTCTTGTCGCTGTTTGTGTGTGTGCTACTGTACGTACAATGCCTACCGAAAACAACGCAAGATACTACCCCCCCCCCCCCCCCCAGGTGATGACATTACGGCATTTAACAGCAGTGGTCTGGTCTTCGCATGTTTTTCTAAGTAAGCAAACATACTGGATAAAGTATAGAATCGGCCAAGTTAGGGTTAGGGTCTGCGTGCCCCCTCCCTGGTCTCTTTTCGTAATAACCTTACTTTCTTTGCGTAGGCAGTCCGCATTTAAAAAGAAGGCTGTCATCTGGAGGTGACATTCTTGTAGGGGGTGTGGTGTCTGCCGTCAGTGCTTCGCTTTGTGCTTCATGTCCAGCTGTAAGAACATCTCCGGGTGTATGGTATTCTGGATGTTTCTGGAGGATGCGTGCTTTTTCGTTTGGGTGTGTGATGTCTTGGGTCGCTTGCGATACGTGGTGGGACAATGCAAGTCAGGAATACGTCCGGCAACTCCTGTTATCTTCAAGGTGGACGCGCATATGTTCTGGAAACTGATGGCGGTTGTGCGTAAGGTGCCCGATCCGAACAGAGACAAAAAAAATGGAGTACCATGATTTTATCTTCCGACAATTTCCTGCGACCAAACATCATGTTCTCTTTACCTCGTTAGTCTGAGGAAAGGTTGACGTTCCGTCCTGTCGTTCGACGTGGTACATCATGCCCGAACACGCAACCGCTCGCCAGGAGTGCAAGGTGACCGACCAGAAGCGGACGGGCCGTTGCTGGATATTCGCGGCGCTCAACGTTATGCGGCTCGGGATCATGAGCAAGTTTAACCTGGCGGACGACTTCGAGTTGGTGAGGGGGGAGAACCAAGTCTTGCGTTGATTCATCGTATGTTGCACACTGCTGTACATTTCCTTTTATGACGACTCCGAGAGCAAAGTGCTCAAGTACGACGGTGCGAAGCAACAGTCACATGTTGTTTCGTGTGGTCTGTTGTTGTTGTCGTTCTCGTTGTCGTCGTCTTCACGCCAGGGTAGCGGTGTGACCTTTTAAACAAAGGAAGTCATTCATGTACCCGCATGGCAGTTGTAGCCGTGGTGATCGCCTTGAGTGGCGCCCCCCCCCCCCCCCCCTGCCTTTGGCGCGGATTCGGCAAGACGCAGCCCAATCTAAGTCCTATCAAACATACATGCTGGGTGTGAAGGCAACCCCGCCGCTGCCCTCCCCTCCTTCGTTTTGTCCAACCCTTGCCGAGGACGCCCCCTCCCCCCTGAAACCCTGACCCAGCACCCCCCTAACCGCCGTGCGCTCCCCTGTGTGCTCCTGCCCGAAACACAAACAGTCGCAGAGCTACCTGTTTTTCTGGGATAAGTTGGAGAAGTGCAACTACTTTTTGGAAAACGTGCTGCTCACCAAGGACAAGCCCCTCGACGGCCGCCTGCTGCAGCACCTACTCAAGGAGCCCATCTGCGACGGGGGTAAGCTCGCGTCACTCGCCTCCTTCCTCTTGGGAGATCGGTTTTGAAAAGGACCAGCAGTTAGCAAGCAATGATCCTTTCGTGGTTGCTGGCGGCTGGCACCTCACGTCTCGGCTTCCTCTGGTGTTTTCAGATGTGTATTACCAAGCGCTGTACATTTCTGAAAATTGAGTGCGGCCGTTCGTAGCTTCTTATCCCCTCTTGCTTTAGGCTTTCCACCCCGCTCTGCGTCGTCGCCGTCGCCGTCATCGCCGGTGTGGTTTGATTTTTTTCCTTTGCTGGTTTGTCTTGGTCGCTCTCTGCTTCTTTTTTCTGTCGTTGTTTTGGTCGTTCACTCAGATTGGTCGGCTTTTGTCTGTGTTGGTTGGCACGATATGTGTTTTTTTTTTCTTTTTTCATCATGTTGCCCTCGGTCGTTGTCTTCCGCGGTCTCGTCTTCCCCGCGTCTCCCCTCGAACCGCCATCCCAGGCCAGTGGGACATGGTCACCAACCTCATGGGCAAGTACGGTGTCGTGCCCAAGAGCGTCTTTCCCGAGAGCAAGACCTCGATGAATTCCGTCTGGTAAGCGTCGACCCCGCATCATCGTCCTTACGCCCCGTCCGGTCGCGGTACATGTACGTACCCGATAAAACGGGGTATGCTATACCGTACCTCCCGTCTTTTCTTGTTCCCGCCCGGGGGGCAGGTGTCGTCGAAGCTCCTGCTGCGTTTTTTGCACAACGTACGCGCAGCAAGACTGTCACAACAAAAAACAAACAAACATGCAGGGAGCACGTCTGTCTTTCTACCCGCTGTCGCAAAGACCAGAAGCGACCATGTTTTTTACGGTCGCAGCGCACGCGACATACTTTTACCACCTTCCCTCTATCCACTCAACTCCTGTGCGGGCTGTCGGACGATCACCACACGGATGGTGTCAACGTTTCTACCGAGTACTAGCGGGGGTTGTGTATCGTGTACTTCGCGCGTGCCCCTGAGTACCTCGTGTCAATGGTACGCGTGGGTTACGAGTGCATCTTGAGGCCTGTACCATATCATATTTACATGTGCGGCACAGCAGCATCAAAATATAGATCACGCACTCGATTCGAATGTTTCGATAGGCTCCCCTATGGCCGTGTGGGCCGTGGGCATTGTTAAAGTGGCAGGCGTATCTGCTGCGTAGAAGTGCGTCCCCGGCTCCCGACGTTATTTGTTGTTTTCTCAATCAACAAACCGACGGAACTCATGTGCAGCTTACGGATAGCGAGCGCACTACAGCATCTTATGCGTCGTGGGGGACATGAGCTACGTTTTGGTGCGAGGTTCGATGACTGATGCGTAACTTTAGTGTGCTATGTGACTGGCTGCATGAAGACTGGTGCGGATAAATAGATGCGTCGAGAGCCCCGTGAGGCTGATCTTTCCCCACGTTGGCGTTATTCTGTCGGGGTGCCCGCCCGCGACCGCAGGGTGAACCGATTCCTCACGGCCAAGCTGCGGGAGTACGCGCTCAGGCTGAGGGGCATGGCGGGAAAGGGGGCGGTCGAGGCGGACCTCCACAAAGCAAAGGCCGACATGATGGCCGAGGTGTACAAGGTAAGGTACGGCGGCGGCCTCACGACGGGGGTGGTCGGGGTGCGTGTGTATTTAGGTGTTTTTTTGGCGTCTGCGGCAGGCGGGCAGTGTGCGCGTGTTGCTGTCATGGTGACAACCCTCTTTTCGAGATCGTCATGTACGCACACACACAAGCTGTACGCACATCAGCACTACTGAGTGTGGACTGGGTGAAAGTAGGACACGACTTGTCGCCAAGGGAAAGCCGGCAAAAATTACATGTGTCCGCTTTTCGGTGTCGCCATGTCTTTTTTCGTGCATAGCGCATGGGGCTATTGTCTGTTGCATTTCGAACCTATTTTGGGATAAAAAGTAGCACACGCTTTCCCCAATTTTAAAACCAAGGAGAACGTTTTTTGTCTCCGAAAATGGGTTTCTTTTCCGTTGTCGGCTTCCCTAAAAAATAGTGCAAATCATATATAAATGATGTAAGTACATGCCGCCTTCGTGCCATGAATGTATATCTCTCTGGTGGCAGAGACCTATTATCCTTATGTGGTGTTATTCTGTTCGCAGGCTGGCAGTTTACGACGGTGGTACGAAGCACCCGGATCGCTGGTAACCCTCTACACACACATACACACACTCACACGCGCGCAAGTTCACCAAGAGACCTGAACTCCGTCGTCGCACAGGACTTGGGCACAACGATAAACGTCCCGCGACGAGAGATGAAAGAAAGGGACAAACGAAGGATCGGGCGTGGTCAAGAGCAGCCGAATTGCGTGTCTCGTTAACCTTATAGGTTACAGCTTCAACCAACTTCGTCGTGCGGTCTCGCCTCTCTCACTTCAAGAGCTCCGATCAGAAGTAGCATCACCACTCCGCCCCGTCCCGGCATTATCGGGATTCGAGGTCAATGGCCTAACGACTACGGCATCATCCGTTTACACAAAGTACTTTCCCCCCCCAATCTCCTTTCAAACAATCTCCCACGTTCCTCCCGACACTCCCCCCCCTCTAAGGTTCTCTCCGTGCACTTCGGAGCCATGCCAAAGCCGGACAGCAAGTTCGAGTGGGCCATGACGGACAAGCACAAGGCCTTCAAACGCGAGGAGCACACCCCCCTGGGGTTCTACAGGGATCTGGTGTCCACCAAGGCCGACCAGATGGTGTCCATCATCCACGACCCGCGAAATCCGTACCGCAGGTAAGTGCGGGACGGAAATGCGGGACCGGGGTGTTTGCGGTGTAACCCACGGAACGTCGTTTCCGCCAGTAAGCGAGTCCGTGCGTGGTGTACGGTTGTTACGTGGGTTCGGGGTCATGAGTTACACCCATTCTTGCCCTCTTATGTGGAAACCTGGGTTGTGTACGGTTGTTAGGTGGGTTCGGGGTCATGGGATACACCCATTCTTGCCCTCTTAAGTGGAAACCTGGGTTGGCGATTTTGGGGCAGGGGGCGGGTGGGCGCTGGGTTGCCGCGTCGCAGAACGGATGGATGCAAGGCAGAATTGATGTAAAACAGTCCCTCTCGTGGGTGTTTCTGTTGTAGGCGGATTCTAAAGAAGGTTATTCTCTTGATGTAGGATGCGTGCGGCGTCGAAACACACAGGAGAACTTGGCAGCGTCAGTGCCGCTGTCCTCGTCGCTCAGGTAGGGAGCATGAAGTCAGCCAGCCCTCCTGTTCGGGCTCGGGGTCGTGGCAGCGGTGCACTTCCCCTTTTCCCTCTCCGAGCAGGAGTCTGTCCGCTTCACAGTCTACAATAGCCTGTGACTACTCTTTGAACCAGACTCCTGTAAGGGGAAGAGAGGAAGCGGGTTGCTGCCGTGTACCCCAGCACGAGAAGGTGGACTCGTGTTTCGTACCTCGAGCGACGAGGGTAGCGGCAACACCGAAGCCCACATGCAAGTTTAAACGCAAGCAGGAACCATCATTTTCCATGTGCGCCGGCGGGTCTAATCGCATCCTCCCCCCTACTGCTGTGTCGATCTCGTCGTCCCCTCCTCGTTTTTGTGTTTGTTGGCCACCAGGTCGTACTCGGTTAGCTACCTGGGAAACGTCGTCGGCGGGGACATCGTTCGATACATCAACCTGCCCATCGAGGAGCTCAAGGTGACCGCGTGGCGTCAGGGCTCCCACACCGTGTGTTGTACCGGGCCTTGGTTGCTACGACTATTGGTTACCACCTTGGTTGCTACGGCAGACGTCGTCGCGTTGAAAACCGAGAGACAAGAGGAGACTTGAAATATATTGGCTCGACATGCACAGGCTGCAATACTCTTTTTCGTATACACGTAGACCCCGTCCTTTTGAAGGGAATCGGTTTCGCGAAATGCCTGAAGCGAGATTCCCTGAGACCCGCAGTCTCTCCCCCCCCTCGCTGTTGACGGGTTTTTGCTTGTAAAACGCCCGTTTTGTCGAACGCCTGCTGGGTGCCTCTTTGTGAGTGAGGTGTGCGACGACGGGAAGCTGGTACATGCATGACGGGGTTCAGCCGCATGATGCGATGTGCGTGGTTGGCGACGGGAATGGAACCGCACTACTGCACAGACGCACGGTGTTGCCTACTCTCCAAAGCGTACTATACCCGACGCCCTGCACGCTGTCCCACCCCTATTTAGCCACTTGCGGAACCCCGGTGTGGGGGGGGACGACCGAGCTCTTACCCCCTCCCTCTTGCCTACGTGTGCAGCGGTACGCGATGGCAACGCTTGATGGGGGACAGCCCTGCTGGATGGGGGTGGACGTGTTCAAGAGCTACCACCTTGAGCTCGGCATCCTTGACAGCGGGATGTACGACCACGACCTTGTCTACGGCGTCAGCCCAGGTGACTTGCAGCGTTGAAGGGTCTGGCAGGCATTCAAAAAGTCAAAACCGAAGTCGTGTCGCGACGGAAAGTAGAGCACGCTGACGAAGGGCTTGCGGATCCTTTGTTTTGTGTGCTCGACTTCGGAATGGGTGTTGTATTTGACCATTCTGCTGTTATGCTCTTTCAGATATTAGGACCCTAGGCTAAACTCCACTTGAAGCATACAACACCTGCGTGTATGTTATATATACTTGAGTACGACGGTGGTAACGAAATACAACACCAGATTCAGCCTCGACTCGAAGTTGACCTTTGCTTCATATCTCCGGCACCCTACCACTGCTGTACTACGTACGGCGGGAAATAGTCATTGGTGGATGAGGCTTGCTTACTATGAACATGAGGGATGAGCCTTTACCAGCGAAGCAAAGTGGAACATAGGCAGATGAAAGGGTGTACAAATGGGAACGATGTACATACTGGCGCAGGCCAGTGCTGGTTGAACTACCACCAGGTGCGTAGTGTAGCCGGATGAGAGGCGGGGTGGGACGGTAAGAAGGCAGAGAATATTATCAACAGTGATGATGTGGCAAGGATGCGGCTTACTAAAGAATTAGTTCGGGGTGTAGAACAGACGACAGGGCGACATAACAAGGCAAAATTTGTGCTGGATGCGGAACCCGAATCAGTGTTGTAAGAGTCCAGCAGTGAAAGAACACATGGATAGATGTTGAACATATTTATTGATGTTGAAAGGATGAAAAGGGAGAAAGCGGACGATGGAAAACGAAATCAAACGCAGTGATTTGTTTTCTATTCTTCCACCGTCCTCATGTGGCCTTTTGTTACCCTTTCATCAGCCGCGTGCTCCTCACTGTTGCATATTCAAACACATGTTCCGGTTCCGCATCCAGCCATGAAGTTAATTTTGCCCTGTCGTGTCGTCCTGCCGTCTGTTACGCTAGAAAACGGCGGTCTAACATCATTGTATAGCACACCACCTTGGCCACCGTTCATCGTCATCGCAGTTCCAAAGGCAAAGGAGATGATGTCCCCACGTGTGTTGGTACACAGAGAGAAACGATTCATGAAGCCGGTCATACGGACAGCCGAAATATGTCTTGAAGGGGCCGAAAACGGTGACGTGCGCTGGCGCGTAAACAAGAGCAGAGAAATGTAACGATCGAAACGCGGCGGAGTAAGCTTCCGTGCGGCAGGTGACAGAGGTGTGCCCCGAACCTATCGTTAGCAGGCTAGATAAGTAGTCGCACAGCCAACTAGGCCTAGAGATTGGACGGAGCGTCGGTTTGATGGCGCATAGGCACATTTACGCACAAGTTGATCGAGATGGGAGCAATTTGACGGCGGAAGAACCTGCGTGTTGCGAGGTAGAGACGACCGAGCACCGACACAGCCAAACTCTAATGCAGGGGGCATCAATCAAGCTTGCTGTAAGGGGTGCATCGTAGTGCAAGACGACCGATGAGATGGCTTGTGGTGCCTCGGGGACTCCGCACAATAAAGTGCATGGTTCGGAACTTTCGGCCGAAAGTGTCACTCAGACAGTCAGGCAAAGCAACAGACCAGCACAGCAACAGACAAGTTTCTCAAGGCGGGGCCTCACTAGACATCCAATCGGTCTCTCGGCATTTTTTTTTTTTTAAGTAGAAAGTTATATCCAATCACTGAAAGAAAGACTTACAGCAAGCAGTACGTTCGAGATAATACCACCGTAGTCGACGGGTTGTGTTGACAGCTTGACATTGAGAGGGGACAGGAGCCTCCTGTTTGTTGTTTCGGCTCTGTTGGCGTGGTCTGGCTCGAAGTGCCCCGAGCTCCCTCTCGCTTGTTCAACTTGCCTTGCCATACCCTGCCGAATTGGCACTGTGTAGGTGTGGCGTTTGTCGTTGGCGCATCTCTTTACTTTTTTCTAGTCTTTGAGAAGATACCCCGCCGAAAGGTGGTTCCCCCCTGTATGAAGTACAAGTTAATTGTATTTTGAAAACGGTGTGTTCTGTAGGGTACCCACAGAAGGTACCGGCGGTATTTTTCCGGGTATTTACCCTACAGAACTCTACAGACGAGTTCTGTGGCACTTTCAATACCCTACCGGATACTTCTGTGAGATCTGTGGCACTTCCCATACCCTACAGAAAACGCCTATGAGTTCTGTGACGCTCCAATACCCTACAGAGAA